CCAGCAAGGCTATGTCATCGGCATATTCCAAGCTAAGGACTCTGTTCGCTGGGAGGATTTCGACTCCACCGTTTGCTAGACCGGACAAAGCACCCTGCAGAGTATCCTCTATGGCGAAGTTGAAAACAAATGGGGATACCGGGCAGCCTTGTAGAACTTCACCGGAGACGACGAAAGGTGGTGAAAGCTGGCCATAAGCCCTAGCGCGACCTGAGGTATGATGATACAACTCTTTGAGGATCGACACATACTTCTCTGGTACTCCACTCCTCAACAAACAGTTCCATAGTGCGGTCCTATCGATAGAGCCGAAGGCCGCACGGATGTCTAAGAACAATGATCGTTGGTCTATGGTAAGCATGACGGTGCTCAAGCAGCTGTCGGAGGGCGAAGATTTGATCGATGCATCCACGACCGGCACGAAACCCAACCTGCTCCTCGCGGGGATGTTCCTCACGCGTTCTGTACAATCTACGAAGAATGACGGACGCCAACAGCTTTGACGCTATTGGGATAAAGCTTATACCCCTATGGTTGGAGCAGTCACTGCTTGGTCCTGTTTTGCATCACAATTATATCCATGTGGGACATGTGTAACCTATACCCCGATTTCTTTTAACGTTATTAGTCTGACTCTGGATTATATTCAATTTTGTCTTCGCTCATCGTTGTTCTTGTCCTGCGAACGGCCATTGATTGTGTTATGCATCTACACAGTTGTGCCTTGCAAGTATTCTAATTAGTGAATTGTACACACCGCGGATCGCATCTTCTTCTTCGTTAACAGCTTTTCCATTCAGGTTGTTGTTCCGTAACTTAAGAGACCTACAGTATTTCGCACCCCAAAACGGAGATTAGCTTTTTTGATGTCACAGTGAGGTTTTTTTGTCCGTGATGCCGTGCAACAGAACTGACAACGGATACCGTCTGTGCACACACAAAGCATTCGCTGATTTTCACCCATGGATGAAATAAATGCATCCGTCGAAGCGTGCTTACACGCTCGCTCGCGCACGTGCGGGCTAGCTGGTGGTGCACACAGGCAGGCAGGCAGGTCGGTCGGTTGAGAGTGGTTGGGGGGCGGGGCGAGGCAAGAACGTAGTCGGTTTCATTCGCGTAAACGCAAGGCGATTGACACTGGCCACGAACTATCATGCAGTCATATCATGAATTTCGGTAGATAGCGCATAACAAACGACTCCGTTTACGTGGGTATAATGGCCAATTTCAGTCGTATCTCCGTTTGTTTTGCTTGTCTACGGAAGTTCTTAATTTATGGTAGATCATATTGAGCCATCTGGTCGGATTTGAGTACTTTTATGCGTGCACGTGCCTGGCACAGGAGTGTGTGTGTGCAACAATAACTTGTTTGCAAGAATAAATCAAACATCTCGTATTGGACAAAGTTGGTGAATACCAGTTCGGATCCGTCTGCACTGGTGGGTAGACCAGTTTATTTGTTTGTTTAGGCCAAACTAACTCTCCAAGCGACACGCTACTACTTTCTTTTCAACTGCTTCATCTGTGCCTGTACCTTATCACTCCTACTTGGTATGCGTTTTGTCACTATCCGGTGCCGACCATTCAAACAGGTGTTCATTTTTACCGTTACCTTGCAATGGATTCCTTTATATCATGATTTTATGCGCTTAATTACTATCTGTCACTTACGAGTTCATACGTTTCTTCTTGTGTTTTGCTAATTGTATTATTTACTTCTATTTCTATTCGTTTTCAACGTCGCAGTAATTGTTCCTCGTGTTTGAAATTATCAGAATGGTCCGGTAGGTTTTTTATTTAAACACCCAAGTGTAATGAACAGCAGACGAGGCGAACGACCCCCTCCCTCCTCCACACACATACCATTCACGTCTGATAAACGCATTGCCACAGTCCATATACGCGATTCCTGTGATCGCTGTAACTTGTGTTGCGATAGTTTGAGTTTTACTGGTAGATTCAAGCGGATCTCCTCCACC